GTCGCGGCAAAAACTGGAACTTTCAGTTTTCCACCTTGATTCTCAATTTCACCTAAAACATCAAAAAACACACCAATTAAACATTCATAAACAACACCAAACAAACTAAACAACTACAAAACAATCAACAAAGAAAAATAAATGAAAACACTTGGGTTGCCTCCCAAGAAGCGCTTGTTTATAGTCGAAAGCTCGACTCTCTCAATTCTTCAAGTCGGACCAAGATGGACTTGCAACTCATCACCCCATCAATGTATGGCTTCAATCTCTGACCATTGACTGTAAAAGTGCCCTTTTCTTCATGTGAAACTTCCACCGCTCCGGATGGGTGAATTCTTGTAACTGTGTATGGTCCAGACCATCTAGACTTAAGTTTTTCAGGGAAAAGCCTAAGTCTAGAGTTGAACAACAACACCTTCTGACCTACTTCAAAGTTCCTCTTCCTGATATGCTTGTCATGCCACCTTTTCGTCTTCTCCTTGTAAATCCGGGCATTCTCATATGCTTCAAGACGGAACTCATCGAGTTCATTCAAAGTCAGCATCCTTTCCTCCCCAGCAGCTCTTAAGTCCATGTTTAGCTGCTTGACTGCCTAGTATGCCTTATGCTCGAGTTCTACCGGTAAATGACATGCTTTCCCCTAGACCATCCTATATGGAGACATACCAATTGGAGTCTTAAATGCAGTTCAGTAGGCCCATAATGCATCATCCAATTTCCATGACCAATCCTTCCTAGATGCATTAACTGTCTTTTCTAAAATTCCCTTAAGTTCTTTGTTAGACAGTTCCACTTGCCTGCTCGTTTGTGGATGGTAAGGCGTTGCAACTCTATGTTTCACTCCATGCTTTCCCAAAAGTGCATCCAATTGCCTATTGCAAAAATGGGATCCTCCATCACTAATGATTGCCCGTGGTACCCCAAACCTTGAGAAAATATTCTTTCTCACAAAATTAACCATTACCCTAGCATCATTAGTCGGCAATGCAACTGCTTCCACCCACTTCGAAACGTAATCCACCGCTACCAAAATATATGTGTTCCCAAAAGAATTTGGGAAGGGACCCATGAAGTCTATCCCCCACACATCAAACAGCTCAACCACCAGGATGTTGTTCAACGACATCTTATCCTTCTTTGAAATATTACCACTTCGTTGACATTGGTCGCACTCTTGAACCATCCGAAACGAATCCTTAAAAAGGGTTGGCCAATAAAACCCAGATTGAAGAACCGTGGCTGCTGTCCTAGCTCCTCCAAAATGGCCACCCACTTCCCTCTCGTGAGAATGCTTTCCATCTTCTCCTCCGGGACACATCTCCGTATCATTTGATCAGCACAGTGTCTGTACAGAAAGGGCTCTTCCCAAAAGTAGTACTTCAAATTTGAGAAGAATTTTCTCTTTTGTTAGAAAGTTATTCCAATAATTGGGAGCACCCTCGATTGCAAATAATTCGCAAAATCTGCATACCATGGTGCTTCATCCACTTTCATCAACTTCTCATCTGAAAATGTTTCTGTAATTGGACTTTCCTCTTCATTTTCCTGGACTGGTCTCTCAATCCTTGACAAGTGATCTGCCACCACATTTTTCAACCCCTTCTTATCTCGAATTTCTAACTCAAATTCTTGAAGCAATAGGATCCATCTTATCAGCCGAGGTTTCGCTTCTTGCTTTGCCAATAGGTGCTTGAGTGCCGAATGGTCCGTGTAGACGATCACTTTTGCACCTAACAAATATGAACGAAACTTGTCAAAAGCAAAAACCACAGCCAACAATTCTTTTTCTGTGGTGGTGTAATTCAATTGTGCATCAGTGAGTGTTTTGCTAGCATACTGAATTACATGCAACACTTTGTTTGTCCTCTGTCCTAACACTACTCCTAGAGCAAAGTCACTAGCATCACACATCAATTCAAATGGTATTCCCCAATCGGGAACTGCAATAATGGGCGCAGATACTAATAACTTCTTTAGAGTTAGAAAGGCATGCATGCATTCATCATTAAAATCAAAAGTAACATCTTTAATCAACAAATTGCAAAGCGGTTTAGAAATCTTAGAAAAGTCCTTGATGAATCGTCCGTAAAACCCCGCATGCCCCAAGAAACTTCAGACTGCTTTAACATTTGATGGTGGTGGCAGTTTCTCAATCACTTCTATCTTTGCTCGATCTACTTCTATTCCATCCTTTGAGATTCTATGACCAAGCGCTATTCCCTTCTAGACCATGAAGTGGCACTTCTCCCAATTGAGCACCAAGTTCGTCTCCTTACATCGCTGCAAAGCAAAAGAAAGATTAGCTAAGCAATTATCAAAAGATGAACCAAAAACTGAGAAGTCATCCATGAAGACTTCTATAAACTGTTCCACCATATCTCCAAAGATCGACATCATGCATCTCTGAAATGTTGCTGGTGCATTGCATAACCGAAAGGGCATCCTTCGGTAAGCAAAGGTGCCATAGGGACAAGTGAAGGTCGTCTTCTCTTGATCCTCAAGAGCGATGGCAATCTGATTATATCCTGAATACCCATCCAGGAAACAGTAATAGGCATGCCCTGCCAACCTCTCCAACATCTGATCAATGAAAGGAAGTGGAAAATGATCCTTCCTTGTCGCCTCATTCAATTTCCGGTAATCAATGCACACTCTCCAGCCCGTCACTATCCTAGTTGGTATCAATTCATTACTCTCATTCTTTATCACCGTGATACCTCCCTTTTTCGGAACCACTTGTACCGGGCTTACCCATGGACTATCGGAAATAGGATAAATTATTCCCGCATCTAGGAGTTTCACCACTTCCTTTCTCAGCACTTCCTTCATCGAAGGATTCAATCTTCGTTGTGGTTGCACCCTAGGCTTGATATCATCCTCCATGAGTATCTTATGCATGCAAAATGATGGTGAGATGCCTCTAATATCCGAAATAGTCCATCCAATTGCTAGTTTGTGTTCCCTCAACACCCTAATCAACCGCTCTTCTCCCAATTTGCTCAAACTTGAACTAATAATTACTGGGAAGGTCTCTAATTCCCCAAGATATACATATTTGAGGTGGAAGGTAAAGGTTTCAACTCAAGTTTTGGAGGTTCTTCATTTTTTTCCTTTTCCTTCTCTCTTTCAAAATCAAATTCCTCAAATTCTCGATCTTGGTTCTCATCAATCAGTTGAAGTGCTTCCAACAATCTAGCACATTCATTACTCGCCGACTCACCTACCTCTACTGTTTTTGATTTGGCAATACAAGCTTCTAGAGGTAATTGTGAGGTGTTCTCTTCAATAGATTCTGCTACTAGTTTATCCACCACGTCAACACTAAAACATGAATCCGATTCGGATGGAAACTTCATAGCCTCAAAGACATTGAAAGTTACTGTTTCATCTTCAGCTCTCAATAGTAACTTCCCTTCTTGCACATCTATAAGTGCTCTTTTCGTGGCAAAAAATGGTCGGTGCAAAATGAGAGGAATTTCCTTATCCTCTTCCATGTCCAAAACAACAAAATCTGCCGCAAAGATTATCTTATCCACTTTCACCAACACATCTTCCACTATCCCCCTCGGATGTTTTATGGACCTATCTGCAAGTTGCAACGACATGGTCGTTGGCTTCACTTCACCAATTCCCAATCTCCTGAAAACAGAAAAGGGCATTAAATTAATACTAGCACCTAAATCACATAAAACACGATCGTAAATAATGTCTTCTATAATGCAAGGAATATTAAAACTCCTTGGATCTTTGAGCTTCGGGGGTAGCTTCTTTTGGAGAATGGCGCTGCACTCCTCTGTGAGCATCATTGTTTCCTCATCTTCTAACTTCCTTTTGTTTGATAAAATTTCCTTAAGAAATTTCGCATAGCTCGGCATCTGTTGCAATGCATCTGCAAAAGGAATGTTAATATGCAGTTTTTTAAATATTCAATAAATTTGGAAAACTGCTTATCCTGATTCTTTTTCTTCAGTCTCTGAGGAAAAGGCACGGGTGGAGTGTGATGTGCCAATTCTGGTGGTATCTCAGGAAATGGCAATTTCTCTTTCCTTTTCTTTTGCCTCTCTTCCCGTTTCTGTTCTTCTTCCCTAGAAATAGATGGTTTCTCTTCAGCAACAATCTCTTCATCTATTTCCTCATCAGATTCTTCCTTTTCCTTTGGTGGCTTTTCTTCTTCTCTTGATTTTTCCACCTCTTTCAAAACTGTCCCACTCCTCAAAATTATTGCATTTGCTTGCTCACGTGGGTTAGTCACTGTATTGCTTGTTAAAGACCCCTGTGGTCTCTCATTTAGCTTTTCAGCTAACTGCCCCATCTGTACCTCCAAGTTCTGAATAGATGCCCCTTGATTTCTGAAATTAGTTCTCGTCTCATTCATAAAACCTGTGGCCTCTTGCATGAACTTCCCAAACATGTCCTCCAATTTTGTCACTCTTGGATCTTCCAGTTGATTGTTCACCCTTGTTTGGTTATTTGGCAATGCCCTTTGATTCCATTGATTGTTTTGCTGATTCTGTTGGTTTTGATTGCCCCAAGACAGGTTCGGGCGATTCCTCCAACCAGGATTATATGTGTTGGAGTACGGATTGTTCAGTTGCCTTTGATTTCCAGCCAAGTAGTTAACCTACTCCGATGATGACGATGCTGAGGCAAAAGTGTTCCCTACTTGACATTCACTGCTCACGTGATTACCTGCACAAAAATCACAAGTTAGTTGAGGAGCTTGAATGGAATTTACCTGCATACTTCCCAACTGTTTCTGAAGTGCTCTCAATTGGGCTGAAATGGCTGTATATGCATCAACTTCATGAAGACCCATAGATTTCTTCGGTTGCACCCTCTCATTAGGTCTTTGATAGTTGTTGCTTTTCAGAACCTCAAGTAACTCGTGAGCTTCTTCCGGAGTCTTATTCTATAATGCTCCTCCCGAGGCTGCATCCACCATAGTTTGCATATTCGCCGTTAATCCATTATAAAATGTTTGGACTTGCATCCAAACTGGCAACCCATGATGTGGACACCTTCTTGGTAACTCTTTGTATCTCTCCCAAGCCTCGTACAAAGATTCTGACTCTTCTTGAATGAATGACGTGATGTCATTTCTCAACTTCGCCGACTTTGCTGGAGGAAATAATTTGGTCAGGAACTTCTGTGCTAAGTCAGTCCATGTGGTGATTGTTCCTGTTGGTAGTGCCAGTAACTATCCCTTAGCTTTATCCTTCAATGAAAATGGGAATAGTCTCAATCTAATTGCATCATCTGACACTCCGTTTGACTTGAACGTATCACAAATCTCCAAAAAATCTACAATGTGTATATTTGGATCTTCCTTCAAATCACCCCTGAACTGAACCGACTGCTGGATCATCTGGATGATTGCCGACTTTATCTCGAAGTTGTTGGCTTGTACCCCTGGTCTAGTAATACTTGACCCACTGCCTTCAACTGTGGGAACTGAGAATTCTCTCAGTGTTCTATTCTCTGCCATCTCTACAACTATTACTTCTGGTTCAATTGTAGCTTCTCTTTCTCTTCTGCCTCTGTTCAGTCTTCGAGTGGTTCTTTCAATCTCAAGATCAATAGGAACCACTGGCTGACATCTTGCTCTTCACATAAACTACACAGAGAAATAGCAAGAGTGAAATCATACCAAACAAAGAAAAATAACGAAAATAAAACAAATAA